GGCGGGGGAGGGGGGGGTCAAGGGAAAATTGGCAAAGGATGGAGCAGGTATGGTGTACGGTGAGCGCAGGTTGTAAGGTCAGAGTTCACGGGGTCAGGGGAGAGGGCAGGTCCAGCCCACAGCGACCACAAGCCCATCGGAGTGAGTGGTGGAAGTAAAACAAGAATAAAAACAAAAAGAAACAAACAAAAAAACAAAAACAGCAGTAAATCAACAGCAGAGCACACAATGCAACCAGAACGCGAGGAAAAAGGAACAGGCAGATAAACACGAAAAACCAGACACAACATAAAGGAGGGAGCACCAGTCAGCATGACAGCGGATGGCAGCAAGCTCAGCTAACCAATGGCAACACAGCGGCTCCCGCTGACCCGCCCACACAACCAATGGAAGGAAGGTTCCCGGACAGCGGTGGGCTGGAGGGGAGCCTTTCGGGTTGCCTGTCAGAGCCCCGCCCCCGGCACCACTCAGAAGGCCTTCGGCAGCTGAGCAGGATTCGACCAACAGGGAACTTAGACGAAGAGACTTATGTCACCAGGTAACAGGGCAGCCGGCTCCTGTCCAATCATATCCGAGGGCAGCCGGCTCCTGTCCAATCACGGGCGAGGGCCACGGACCGTTAAAGGCTCTGAGGGGAGGCCTGAACAAGGCGAGCCGAAAATCCAGAGCTCCAACCCCCCCCCCTAGGAGACAGCTGGTGTGTAGATGGAGATAAAAGCAAGCGATGGTATCTGGGAAGGAGGACATGGGGGGGGGGGGGGCGGGGGGGGGGGGGGGGGGGGGGGGGGGTGTCGTGGGGCTTCCTGAGTGATTTGGGTGACAGCCAGGATGACGGTTTCACTCGGCCAAATCGGAAAAGAGGGGGCGGAGTCATATCGACAAAGGGCCAGAAGTGTTGTGGGAGGGGGGGTGACATGCATAAGCTACCCTCCCCTGGGCCTCCAGGCTGTTCACAGCACCTCTACGGCGAAGCCGACGTAAGCGTGCGCCGTGTTTACGCGGTCGACCCCCCCCCGCAGCATTCCCCGGACTGGGGTGGGAGGACGTAGGCTGGATGTTACCAGGGCGTCTCCACAGAAGAGGTTATAGCCTGGTTGCAGTTTAATCTCCCTCATTAAAACATTGTTAGAAAACCACAAGCCTTCCTATGCTCTGTCAGCGCGAATCCTCGAGTCGAATGAGATGGTCTGATATCATGCAAATGGCCAAAATATTTCAGACGTGGATGGAAAATGGTGTGGGGGGAGGTGGGGAGGCATTTAATTCCCCCCAAACAGAGAGATAAATAATAAGGAAGCAGTCCCTCTACACATTCCAAGGTCGGGTACCAAGATGGTCTGAGACGGCAGATTAAACACAGTGTGGGGACACAATATCCTTCTAGCGCCCCCATGTGGTGAAGCACACAAAGCGCCCCCTCCTAAAATCCCTCCCGGAACGAATGTGAAGGCACCAGGGCGGGGAGGCAGGTGACAGGGCTGCGCCGTGTGCGTCTGCGTGTGCGTCTGCATGCGCGTCTGCGTACCTCTTGGGCCTCTCATTGAGGCTGGTGCTTCGTGCACGAAAGCTGCTCTGCTCGTGCGTGTCATCAAAGGGCAGGAGAACGTTGGAGCGCAGACCCTAGGGACACGGGGATGAGGGGCATCAGTGAAGAAGCACACATGCGCATACACACACACCTGAAGCACCGCAGGGCCCTACCTTGGTGATGTACTGCACGAAATCCTTGCGAAAGGTGAGCCGACAGCGGATAAACCACATAGCGATGACATGGTGCGCCAGGGACACAATGTACTGATTGAACCTGGAGGTGGAGACAAAAAAAAAAAACAGGGAGATAGGGGTGAGGAGAGGGCTGAACAAATGGGCCTCAACAGCGCCGCCCTATTGGCCATAAATGGTAGCACTCACTTCGAAGGGTTGGTGTAGGGCAGGGAGATGGCGAATACGCTGACGTACTGCTCGGCTACAAAGTTGGCATACAGGTGGGGGAGCCGCACCAGAGCTGCAACAATGGAGGGCACCTCAGAAACAGCCATCCAATCACAGCCCTGGTATCCAAAGACCTGACCAATCACAATCCCTGTACCAATCTAGAGGCCATTCCAGAAATAAAGCTTCTAACACAGATGCTTTACACATAATCTAACCTATAATTACAGGTAGAGGATTACAGCTACAGTTCCTCAGGAGCCCAAACATACCTGCCACCTGCTGGATGAGTCTTACCTGGGGAATAAGGCTATGAAACAGACATCCGATAGAAATTAAACTTGGACTAAAAGTGAGGTCTGTCTGCAAAGGACCCCATACGCCCTGAAATCCTGGGAAACGCCCCTAAACCACTATTGGTCATAACTGGAACAAAGACACTCTTTTATTGGTCAAAAGCCAAGCGTCAGGATGAATGGGTGGGCCTTACTGGACAAGAACTCCAGCATGGGTGATGCCATGGCGACCGTTGCCGAGATGTGCGTGAGCTTGACGATGAGAGCAGGCAGCAGCTTGATCATGATGTCGGGCATCTCCACAGTGCACATGGTGAGTGCCACGACACACTGCTTGGCACAGCGGTAGATCAGGCCCGTCTCCAAGCACTGGACCAGCTCTCGCTGCGATGACAGCAAAATAAAAAATGTTATTCTGGGATTAAGGAGATTGAGGGGAGAGACTGGACTGTGGAGAATGCAGTGTTATTCCAGGATGGGGGAAAGGATAAGTATGCAGGTGACCTAAAGAGAGCATGTCAAACGACCAAGGACAAAGGAGTCTACAGCTGCTGAAGGATTTCTGGAAGATGACCTGCACAGCTCCGATATACAGAAGGCCAAGACGGTGAGCCAATCACAAGAGCCATCTTGCTTCGAGACACATAACCTGCAGAGCCATATTTCAGAGGGATTCTCGGAGACCCTAATGAGGACCACAGCATCATTAGCCGTCTCCTGCTACCTGTCTGGCTGGTTCCAGGTAGCTGTGGTACGAGGTGAGGGCTGTCAGAACCGGCACCACCGCCAGCTGTACATCTGTGCGTGAGAACCCTTCCGGGGTCTTCCGTAATCGCTCAGAGATCAGGCGGTCCGTCACCTGCAATGGGGCAGGGTACAGACAGACTTCAGCGGTACAGTGTACGGACAAATTTGCGGATGGCTGCAGGACTAACAGAAACCAAACCAAAAGGCCCAAAAAGAGACAGGACACTGGAAAAGTAAAGCGAACGAGTCTGACAGATAAAGACAGCAGTGGAAACATTTAAAAGGAGGCTTAACGAGGCAGAAAACGAAACGCACAAGAGGTTATAAAAGTCCGCTCCAAAAAGTCCCGTCAAGTACTCTGTATTATGTAACGTTTCCATGGAAACGTACAACTCGTTAAATATCAAGGAGGGGGGGGGGCACTACTTCAGTGGAACATTAATATTTCAGTTCTGATGTAACAGGAAAATGTAATTAGTGCCGGGCTGGACCTGTGAGTGGGAGGGGCCACAGGTCGCGGTGCGAGGCGTTACCATGGTGCACAGCGTGGAACACAGCTGGTCCGTGTTACAAGGCGACGTCAGCAGAAGCACTTTGTACTGCAGAGTGCATGGTAGCATATCCAGGACCAGCTTCAGAACCTTCCAGTCTGTCTCCTAATAAATGGGGGGGGGTGGTTCAATTTAACCAGAACAAAAGGGCAAGTTGCCTTATCACCTACAGCCACAAGCATATCTGCAGGGGTGCAGTACTGACCATCCGGAGGCACTGCAGTACGACAGAGAAGGCCAGCGAGTAGGGCAGGCAGGCCGTGCGGACAGGCGAGGGCTGCGCTGCAGGAGCGGGGCTGCCAGCAGGGGGCGACACTGGGCCGGCCTGCTTCTTCTCACTCGCCCACTTCTCTGCCTCCCTGAAGGTTCAAAAAGCCACCATTTCAGAGCACTAGACCCAGAAAGGTCCAGTCTGGTTCGACCGGGGGCACGGGGGCTCACCCAAGATCACAGTGGCAGTAGGGGCTGAAGCGGAGTTGCCCATCCTTGTTGGGCAAGCCCAGGCGGTGAAGAGAGTCGGCCCGCATCAGCAGCAGGAAGTCGAACACCTGAGGGGGGTGAGGGGCCGTCAGGAGCAGAAGGGCAGGTGCAGTGAGGGACCCGCGGGGGGGGGGGGGGCAGTCGGAGACACCCACCTGCAGACGGATGCTGCAGGCGATAGCAGAGCTGTACTTGTTCTTGTAGTGCAGCTGCAGGTGACCAATAAGCAGCTCGTAGACGCGGCTGGCATGGCTGGCTGGGAGGCTGTACAGTTTGCTCTGTAAAGACACACACACACACACACACACACACACAGACACACAGCTTGGTCTCTGCATAGAGCTCAAAGTAATGGGCTCCCAGGTTCATTACAGATTTCCTGTACATAATACCTCCGACCACCAGGGAGCAGTAACATAAAGCATTAACTATCTTCGCGACAACTGCATCTAACCCTATTTAGCTAATGAAGGGCAGTCTACGCTTGAACATGAGTTGCAAGACGAAGAAGAAGCAAGACGAGGCAGCAAAGATGTCGAAATCCACAGTGATAAGGAGTCAGCAGTGCATTCTAGGAGGGAGGAGGGTAGGAAGATCAGCCAGCAAGTGACGGCAGATCTATATTCACTGGATTTAGTACCAGCGAATTGGTCTTTTTTTGTTGTTGTTTTTAAGCCTATTGGTAGAGATAAAATCTGTACTCAGACCAAGGATGGGAAGGTGAATACAGATTACTCTTAATCCAAAGCCTTGAGGCTGTTGCCATGGCAATGATTTCAGGGGGTTCTATGGAGATGCACCTGCAGAATCTCCAGCAAGCCCAAGACAGCCGTCTTCACGTCCTCCATGGGAGAGTCAGCCAGGGGGTCTCGGTCCAGGACATCAGCAGGTCCCACCGAGGACAGGGAGCGACTGGCCACCTGGAGGGAGCGTTTCGTTAGGGCAGGAAAGATGAAGATGAAGAAGAAGAACATACATATACACACAGACACAGACACACACAGAGACACACACACACAGATACATAGAAACACAAACAGGCACATACATACTCTCTCACACACATACACACACACACACACACACACACTCTCAGGGGGTTAAAACCAGTCAGCCCAGTGCTCAATCAGAAGTGATTGAGTGATAACTAGCTGCCATGACGACGACCAGCGTGCCCCCAACGCCCCCCCAGACCTTCTCTATGATGTCCAGCAGGCTGCTGACGTGGTGCGTGCTGCAGCCCTCAGCTAAATCCACCAGCAGCTGCGTGGCCAGCTTGCGCACATGAAGATCACGATCCTCAGCGATGAGGCTCAGCTGCGGGATCACCACGGCCTCGATGAGCTCCTCCTGGCGGAAGACGGCAATCACATCAGGCGCGGGACCCAGAGCCTGTCGTGTCCGAGTCCTAGCCTGGGACCTGCTGGTATACCACTGACCGAAGGAACTTCTGAGCTGCAGCGCTTTAGTATAAAATCCATCTGCGTAAATGAAGCAGCTATCTATGGTTCAAAAGCCGGCCACCCAGGAGGGTCCTGAAGAAGATCAAGGGCAGGGGCCTCGATTTGAGGGCTTACAGTAAAATATCCAGTGGCCTCAATGAAGCTCTCTGATCAGCTTTGGAAGAGCATACTGTTTCTTTAGCCATGATATATCACAGAGACTTCTAGGGAAATGGCATGTGGACCATAACAACCCAACACGGTTCACTCATTAACTTCTGGTTCAGCTGTCAATGGACTCTTGATGTGCAAGTATTCATTAACTCTACACCCTAGGAGGATGGACTCGGACGAATGCCATCCCCACAGGTACTATCTGCTTATTAGTGACACAGGGATGGACACAAGTAATCCTGGAAAGACATTATCACCCGTAAGGCCACCAACCTCGTAGAGTTGGCGGTTGGTGCTGAGGACGAAGGAGAGCACATCCAGGACCTTCACCCTGATAGCGCTGCGAGTTTCATTTCTGCCACAGATAGAAGGAGGAGAGATGGAGAGATCCAGGGAGATGGTGAGATCCAGGGACCGGTCCTCGTTTCTCTTGACAGCCAACCTAGCCCTCCACCGCACCCTCACCACGTGTCTCTGCATGGCGGCATCGCTAGGCGAGAGCATTACCTAAAGAACTTCTCCATGAGTTTGTGCAGGCTCTGGATCCAGCCATCCTTAGCTGGCTGGATGGAGTGGGCCCGGTAGGAAATGAGGGTCATCACAGACGACTCCTGAGAAGCGCATGAGTTTCAATTTATAATCATTACCTGCAGGTCACTTATGTGCCTGGAACTACATCAACGTGGTCTCAGTCTAGGCCATGATGGAAGAGGAGGAAGATGAGGAAGGACGACGGCAGGCTCACCGGGCGCTTGTCAGCACACTTCTCAATGAGTGAGAAGAACCTTTCTGAGGAGCCGTGGTAGCCATTCTGCTCATACAGCTCCTCCACAGTGGTGAGAAGCTCATGGACAATGGTCTTCAGCTCATGGCTACCTATCACCTGAGAAGTAAAGGCAGAGAGAGTCCAACGTGTCTGTGTTTAAACCCCCTCTGAATTCCACAGCTCAACCATCCAGGGGACCTCTGACCTCATTGTAGTTTCAGCCTGGACTGATCTCATCTCACTTACCTGGATCTGCTGCAGCAGACGCTCTATGATGCTGAGCAGGATGTCCCAGGTGACCACCTGCAGCTCCCTGCCATACTTCTTAATCAGGCGGGTGATAGAGAGCACAATCTCATAGGAGACCACCTCATTGGTTTTGGTCATGGCCTGGGGGCGGGGACACAGCCCTGTCAGTCATATTCACACCAGTGTGGAAACCACAGCAGACACATCCCATAAGCAGAGCGACGCTAAGGGACTCTCAGCTAATTGGTCCAGCTGTTGACTGAATGCTGCACTTGTCATAGATGACTGAAAGTCCCAACTGCTCCAGTCGTAGTTCCAGATCACCCTTGAGAAGCTCTATTGTGTTTTATCACCAGTATGATTAAACCCATCCTGGGCTGCGGTGCCCGACCTTAAAGAAAGAAGGCAGCACCAACGTGGGGGTATTCTTGAGCGTGGCCAGCCGGTGCGCGCCCCACAGCGCCATCCCCACGAAAAACACCGCACCACGCAACAGGGCGGCATCCTCCATGTAGGCCCTGCAAACACAACAGAGCTCAGGGTCCCCGGGAGCGTGACACACGCTCAGGGCGGACATACGCATTCAAACGGAGACAAACCTCTCTTCCATGATGTGGCACATGGTATAGATGGCACTGTGGCCCAGGTGAGTCCCTAACACCTTCCGCATCAACTGTGAGGAAAATGCAGGGGAATCAACTGTCAAGAGTTATGGGAGTCGTGACTGTTGCATAACAGCACCAAGACCAGGACCACAATGCTAAGATTCTAAGCTGCAGACTCCCAAAAGCAGACTCGTTACAAGCATCTCTTCAAGCAACCTTGGTCAGAAAAATGGAACATGACTTGGGATGACCAAGCCTACAGGGCCTGCCAAGGGTATGGAAAGGCCTATAAGGCACTCACCTTCCAGCAGGACTCACAGAACTCCTTGACGTTGACTGTGCGGCACAGGGTGATGATGAAGCTGGGAAGGGAGTCAGATGGCAAGCAGTTGTAACATACCACTGCATCCAGAACTTGCAGCGCCACCTGGAGGAAGGGAGGCGTATAGTCAAACACCGAGATGGGAGACAGAAAATAAAATGAAGAATGAAGAATAGAATACCTCTATGTCTGTGGAAGACGTGGTCCGATTGCACAGAAGACAAATTTCCCTTTATTAAAAAAAAAAAAAAAAAAGTGAGATTAATACCATAATAATGTACGATTTGTCTATTTTGCAAGTTATCTTGCAACACAAGCAAATTACCCTATAGTACATCTGGGATAAAACTAGCACATGTGTATGCATGCATGTGGAAAAATAAGAGTGACGTTCTTACAGGACCATGTGCGATACGTTCCGGTCCAGGTAGCAGCTGTTGAACTTGACCAGGTTGACCAGCACATGGAGGAAGTCAGAAGTCAGACCCACGTTTATCCACAGCTCCACGAATAAGGCTGCACGTGACACAAGGAGGAGACTTGGTCGGGGATTTAAGATAGGGCTGTCCAGCGCCAGTCGACTGAGGGACCACTGGGAGTTGTGGTTTCCAACCTCAGCTCTTAACCGATTTATTGAACTCATTACTGGAGTAGCAAGTCACATGACCTGAAGGACACCCAACCATGAGGACCACGGCCAGGTATTGCTGGTTTAACTGGAGGCTTTTAAGCACAACTTCAGCTGGTCAGGTGCTACAACAGCTAGGTGCCACTGAGCTTCACCTATGTCCTCCTCCAGGTGGGTGATGTCCTTCCCGTTCTCTGTGAGCGCCCTGAATACCTCCAGCCGGTCTGTCAGGTCCTCACTGGACGGCTGGTAGTCCCTAATGATCTTAAAGAAGTAGGCACGCAGAGGACCAAGCCTCTCCCCCTGACGACGAAGACACAAAGTCACCGTGTTACCAGATTTCGTCAACAGCAGTTACAAGCACGTCACATCAACACCATCAGATGTGCCGTAGGCAGTGTGTATACAGTGAGGGTCGGGGGTGTTGTGTTGCTTTGAATGAAAATTCCAAGAGATCTTTCCGGATCAGCCAGAGGCAAATTGACTTAAACTACATCAGATCTTGTTGCTGGTTACAACAAGTACTACTAGTAATTCACAACTAACACTGGACATCAAGACCAGAACCACATGCAACAGCTTCTCCTCTTCAGCCCCCCACCCCTGCTGACACAGGCCTGGCCTCCGTCCCTCCCCCACTGACTCCACATGCATTTTTGCACATCCGTTTTATCTTTCTTTTCTACTGGCATCATATATTGTTATATTTCAGTACTCATATCTCTGTTCCCTTTAAGTTTATATTTGATAGTAAATGCACAGCTTTACACTGTTTGCACTATTTTATTACATAGTCTTATTTCTCCTTATACCATCTTTCTTATGTTCTATGTTGTCTGTGAATGTGTGCACCAGTACTGCCAGAGCAAATTCTTAATACATGCAGGTGTACCTGGCCAATTAAGTGAATTCAGTGGAAGACCAATAAAAATAAGAAGTGTACTGCCACTTGTTTCCACCAGAGGGCGCTCACCTGTCCCTGGATGATGGCTCGTAGCAGCTGCAACACAGCATGCCGGGCCTCAGCAGGCTGTTCCGGGTGCAGCATGTCCCCCACTGCGCTCCACAGAGCCTCGACCGCATTCTGGGGGGGCAAGTCCAGTGGGCTTTATCATCATACCACCCATGTACAGGTATAAGGTGGCACCGGATGTTTGCCCAGGATCATGGAGACCACAAGTGACAATGATAATGAGGAAATGCAGCAGTACAAATAAACTCTGAAAGAAGTATGATGCTTGTTATATCCGGCCTGGTTCTGGAGTAATGCTGCTTGTTATATCCGGCCTGGTTCTGGAGTAATGATGCTTGCAGTGGTTCAGATCTGCCAGAACATGCAGTACCCCCCACAAGCTGTCTGAGCCAGGACATGTGAGAAGAGCAGAGCAGGAGTGAAAGGTTCTTGACCGGAGCAGGAGCGACACATTGGTGCTGGGATGCCATCCTCCACCTGCCAGTGGATGTACTGTGTGTGGCTGAGCTAAAGCACACAGACCTGGCAGTGAGACATTAGGCCTCCGGGAGCCTGACAGCCCTGTGATCCAGGACCTGCCGATGTCCCCCAGCAGCACAGCCCTCCACTTTGACCGACACATCAGCTTTCTGTCCCCAGTTCGCACCCGACCATCCTGGAAATGCACTTTGGAGGCCCATCTGCCTTTCCTTTTCCCAGCGAAAGCTCTGACTTACCTCTTCAAACTTCTTGGTCTTGGCCAGCTCGCAGACGTGGCTGATAACCCGGATCCTGTTATGCAGCCCACACTCGGGACTCAGCTCCTTCAGAGGAAAGCCGACAGGCTGTGAGTTTCTTACAGCTTCTCAGCCCTCTCTGATACACTACAAGCCTACATGCTCATGCGGTCCGTCATTTGACAGGTACCTTAAGTATTTCCAGCGTTATGATGAACTCGGAGGACTTGTTCTCTGCCTGCTTGTTGGGCAGCCGCGATGACCCAATCCCAAAAATCCCCTTCACCTTATCCTTTAGGGACTCCTTGCCCTGTTGCTTGTTCATACTGGTGGTCGGGGGGCAGCTCATAGGAGGCCTGGGAAGAGACTGGAAATGCGACGTAACAGGTTTACAGATCTGCACGACCTGAAGGGTTTATTACCCCAAAGACGTCAAGGGCTGCAATTTTTAGTTTTTCGGGGCTTGGAGGTTCATTACAGTTTACAGTACATGTCTGCGAAGGTCGCTCAAACATCATATAACAAAAGTTAATCTTTTATTACTGTAAGATAAAGACAGACGAGGATTCTCCGAAAGTATCAAATCAATAGCTGGAATTTTTATCAACCTAACCCATGATTGACACGCTGACTAGTCAGAAAAAGTCAGTTGCTTTCATCCCCTGATACGGATTTCACTGAAAAACAAAACATTTTTCTTAATTCTGTACGTACTTCATTTCAGTACTATATCCGAGACTGCTGCATCTCCAAAGAAAGCCCACTTTGATCATTACGTATAACGGCATATGAAACTGCGGTAGTGAAAAAAGTCATTCTTTAACAATGCAGATTTTAAAAAAGCAGTGGACGCAGGAGACGTCTGCTAAAGTTAAAAGCTTTAAGGGCCTTTTTACCCCCAGAGAAATAAACCTTGCTGAGCTGCACTGGATCAGCGACACAAACAAGCAAAAACAAATTACACAGCAGCACAGTCCTCACCTTTTATTGTGTCTGCGGATGTAGTCATTAATACATTATCTCCATTGGATCGAAGCTGTTCTAATAAACGGTCTCGGTTTGTATGATTTATATACATTTATATTTTCCCTTAGCTGCTCGAAAGTCACGGTAAACAGTGACGTCACATCCGCCGCGTGACTCCGCACGCCTGCTGGGATATGCAGTCTTTGCGTGCGAAAACCGATAGGCCGCTATACACGGAGTTGTCCGCGTGCAAAGCGTTTGCAACTGGGGCTGTCTAACGAACGTGTGAGTGTCGAGGGGAGAAGTTTACGGGTGCAGCCGCCAGTACCAGTTTGCTCAGGTGTACGCGTCTTGCTGAAGTCCGTGCATGGCACGCTTTGAAAATGGCCTCCCCTTACTTTTTTCGCAAGAGCATGACCGAAATGAGCAGAATGAAAGAGACTAAAATTCGGGACTCCACCTCATCAACATTAAAAACTAGATCGGCGAAAGTTCACAAGTGCTCCGGACCTGCTGTGCAGGTGAAACAGGAACGTGAGGACCAGTGCATCTCAGTACCTGAGCCGAACCGGCCGGGATCCGAAACTGCCAGCAATCCGGACCAGCGCAAACCAGCAGGTTAAAAACGCACTACGTCCTGTGAAAAGACACGCCACGACTGATCGGTGGCATGATTCATAAGGATTGCAAGCGCTTTGTGTTTTAATTTAAATTAGTTCAGGAAAATCACGTACGCATTAAGCACACTGACATCTTTGTTCTCAAATAGCATAAAGAAAAAAACATTTCTTATTACTTTGTTCTAACCAATAAATGAATGTGCTATTACAAATCACAATCTTTGATTGTAGATTACAAGTAAATTCTAGTTTTCCAATATGGTACTGTACAGATACCAAGCTCATGAACTTATTTGGTTTTAAAAAACGATCTTTATTGCGGACTGTAATATGGAATATGTCTGCGTACTTACGATGTATTTTAGCTATTTTACACTGTAGATTCTGTCCCAGGGGGGTTGGAGATACACAAGGTCAGATCTTTTGCTTCTAGTACAGGATTACGTGGAAACGAAATTATTTGGAGACACAAGGGAAGTGTAGGCGGAAATGCTTCCAGTGATTTTGTAGAGATCATCCTGAGCAGTTCTCAGAGTGCAGCACCCTTGCAACAAATGAGGCCGCCATTCTTGAACACTGGTCTTAGGAAAAGCAACGGATGATGCACAACCACGCAACAAACTGCAAAATGTTTACATTGTGGACGAAACTGAGACTAAGCAAGAAATCCTGCTTCGTGATACAGGCCCCTGGAATACTGGTTGAAAGAATGCACTTATGTCATTGTGGAAAAATGGGGCTGTTTTGGAGAGTCTGACATTTGAGAAATTTTTGAAATGTTGGTCATTTCTATTGGTCATTGCATTTTTTGATATGTGTTACTTCATTGCCTGTAAACCTTTCACTCTAACATGAATGACAGTTAAAAGATAAACAAATGCATTGAAAGCAGGTGTGTCCAGAGATTTGGCTGGTTATCTTCCTGGGGGTAACTGTGGAATCTCAAATTTTGTGTGGGGACCTCGCAGACGGAGAGCCGCCCCGGGAGAGACGCAGGCGGCCCGTGAAGGTGGAGTATGAGGAGCCCAAGAGGGAGCCCAAGAAGGAGCCCAAGAGGGAGCCCAAGAAGGAGCCCAAGAGGGAGCCGTGGGAGCCGGCAGACTGGAGGAGGCAACTGGAGAACATAAGGCAAATGCGGAGCGCCCGCAATGCCCCCGTGGACAGCATGGGGGCAGCACGCTGTGTGGACCCCCAGGCCCCTCCTGAGGTAGGCAGACTGCTCTCGGGGGGCAGGGAAGGGTTGTCCTGGCTTTAGTGGGCTTGTAGGGACGTGACAGGTAAATTAGGACCACAAGTAAGTCGAAGGAGGTCATGTACTTCATTTGGCAGGTTTCCAACCACAATTCTAAGTGAATTTACTGCCTAAGTTTGTTGCTGACATGTAGAGTCTTGAAATCAGAATTTATGGCCTTAATAGACAATGTAGCCACTGTCCAGTTTGTCACTGTGCTGCCCCTCCCCCCCCATCTCAGTATTAGCTCTGCCCACTAGCCTGTCCCTGTGCTTCACCTACTGTACATAATGCTCTGCCCCCTCCCCCCCATCTCAGTATTAGCTCTGCCCACTAGTCTATCCCTGTGCTTCACCTACATAATGCTCTGCCCCTCTCCCCATCTCAGTATTAGCCCTGCCCACTAGCCTGTCCCTGTGCTTCACCTACATAATGCCCTGCCCCCTCCCCCCATCTCAGTATTAGCCCTGCCCACTAGCCTATCCCTGTGCTTCACCTACATAATGCTCTGCCCCTCCCCCCATCTCAGTATTAGCAATGCCCACTAGCCTATCCCTGTGCTTCACCTACATAATGCTCTGCCCCTCCCCCCATCTCAGTATTAGCTCTGCCCACTAGCCTGTCCCTGTGCTTCACCTACATAATGCTCTGCCCCCGGACCACCCCCTCAGGTCATGAGATACCAGGTGCTCGTCTCCCTCATGTTGTCCAGCCAGACCAAGGACCAGGTGACAGCCGCAGCCATGGAGAGGCTGCGAAGACACGGCCTGACCGTGGACAGCGTCCTGGAGACAGATGACGAGACGCTGGGGCGGCTCATCTATCCCGTGGGCTTCTGGAGGGTAAACAGGCTGCATTTCTGCAGCTTCACCTGCAGGGGGAGCCAAATGCACTGTCGTATTTGCTGCAGTTTGGTCTGAAAAACTATTGTTTGTATAGGTTCGATGAAATACTTGCTTGCGTACCTCCCTGTAGAATTAGCATATAACGATAAAGAAAAATAAGCAGCTAATGGCGGAATGCATTGCCCCCTCCCCTAATGACAGAATACATTGCCCCCTCCCCTAATGACAGAATGCATTGCCCCTTGCCAATAGGGGTATCCCAGAGCATTCTAAAAACAGTCCCAACATTGCCCTGGGTTTTGTCATTAGCTTATCAGCACCTGACAAAGCTTCAGCTCTTCTTAGATGACTGGTAAATGACCAGCACCTCAGATTACAGCCACCAAACACCAAGCATGTTATTTTTGCAGCAAAACCTGGGATTTATTTGGAATCAGATGATAAGCCAGACTGTGGCCTTTGCTCTGAGTGTATCTGGTGTTTTTCCGTGCCCTGATGCCCCGAGCTGCCCCTTATGCCCCGAGCTGCCCCTTATGCCCCTGCAGGGGGCGCCGGTGTTTAGCACATGGGAGCTGGTGTTTGAATGCTGACGCCTCACTGTGTGGCCCCAGACTAAGGTGAAGTATTTGAAGCAGACGGCAGCCATCCTGCGGGGAGAGTACAGCAGCGACATCCCCGGCAGCTTTGAGGGGCTACTGCGCCTCCCCGGAGTCGGGCCCAAGATGGCGCACCTGGCAATGGACATCGCCTGGAGGCAGGTCTCTGGAATCGGTATGCCACCCCAGCGGTGCATTCTGGGATTTTTTTTCTGTGTACTCTGAGAGTTAAGCCCATTCATTCCTTAAATGTTTTAAAGCATTAAACACACTTTTTTCAAAGGTTGTGTTTTTGATGTTATGTTGAGTGATCTTATACTGTGCGTGTGTGTGTGTGTGTGTGTGTGTGTGTGTGTGTGTGCGTGCGTGTGCTGTGCAGGGGTGGACACGCATGTACATCGTATTTCCAATCGCCTCGGCTGGACGAGGACTGGGACCAAATCCCCTGAGGACACCAGGAAGGCGCTGGAGGACTGGCTCCCAAGGTGAGGCTGCGGGGGCGGGGCCACGGACTGGCTCCCAAGGTGAGGCTGCGGGGGCGGGGCCACGGACTGGCTCCCAAGGTGAGGCTGCGGGGGCGGGGCCACGGACTGGCTCCCAAGGTGAGGCTGCGGGGGCGGGGCCACGGACTGGCTCCCCAGGTGAGGCTACGGGGGCGGGGCCACAGGGACTGCCTGTGTTCCTGAACAGTAACTATTCCAGATCTATTATTATTATTATCATTACTATGTTATTGTCACTGTGCCTGTTGCTGGATGGCATTCTGCCACGTGGCCTCTTCGCCCTCCTGTCCACCTCTCAGCAGGCTGACCCGGCCCTCTGTGCGCCCCCTACAGGCAGTTGTGGAGCGAGGTTAACTGGCTGCTAGTGGGCTTCGGACAGCAGCTCTGCCTGCCGACAAACCCGCTCTGCTCCCTCTGCCTGAACCAGCATAGCTGTCCCTCTGCACACTGCACCTCCCCAGGCAGGAAGCCCCTGCCCCACATCCTCAAGCCTCCTGACCAGAGCAAGGTGAACGTGGAGTCGCCCCCACCCACTGACGGCATGAAGCCTGAAGGGCCTGCCTCCCCCATGGGCTCCCCCACGAGCTCCCCTGGGCTGCGACGGGGCAGTAGAGGCTCACAAGCCTCTGCGACGGGGCAGTAGAGGCTCACCAGCCGCTGCAACGGGGCAGTAGAGGCACACCAGCCGCTGGTAAAGCAGAGCCTGATCTCCCCTGAGCTCAGGTCGCCATATCCCTACTTTCCAAACGAGGGACAAGGTCGCTTAAGTGGTCTGGGATCTGGGATCAGACTGACATACGTTTCCCATGAACTGCGGCCGGCGGACGACCCCCGGTGACCTCCTGTGACACACTGCTTACCGATGCCCTCCAGGTGTCACGATTGGGTCAGTTACGCTAAAACTGGAGATGATCTCACAGCCCTGAGTGTTGGGCCTCTAGCTCAGTACAGCCTGACCTAACCCTCAGCCACATTTCTACTGTTTTTCAGCTGAAATAAATTATTTTTTTACTCAGCATATAGTAGTGATTGTGATTTATTTGTTAGTAGAATAAAGGGGATGGACAAACTGCAGCCCTGCCTTACATTCCAGCTCTGAGAAACTCACAACTTACAGTGTATACACTAGGCGTGCAGATTTAATTCTGTGGTGTTCAGGAACTGTCCTGTCAAGCATCTGCCTGTCTGTCAGTGAAGTGTTCCTCTTTCCTCTTTCTCCATGTTTAATGAGACTCTTCACACTGTTACATTAATATGTATGTAAAATAATGGAAACGCCAAGTTTACTGATATGTATTTTTTTCTCTTGACAGGTTCACATTAACAAATCTTTCATACGGTGTTAAGAGATGCACAGTAATTGTGTTAATAAGAGCTATGGTTTTGTAATGGCATTCTGTTTTTGTTTGTTTGAAACAGTGCTTCTGTCCGTAGCACCAGCACAGTTGGTCTGTATGCGTCCAGCTTTGTTAGGCAATTACGCCTAACACTTCAAAGTGGTGAACAAAGAGACACAAGACACAGAGGTACAGGAGGGACAAGGTTTATTACTTATATGCACTATACAAATAAACAATACATGAAAGTATTTAAGGGCACAGAAGAAGCCATTTGAGGGTCGCTTTGTGGAGGTGAGAGTCTGAGGAGGTGGGCAACTGTGGAGGCGAGTCGCTTTGAGGAGGCTGGTCGCTTTGAGGAGATCAGTCACTGAGGAGGAGGTGGGTCGCTTTGAGGAGGTGGATCACAAACCACGGGCACCATGTTTATGTGGCCTGCATGGTGGGGAGCTCTGAAAAGCAGAAATAACAATGTCCTTGTTAGTGCAACATATAAAGGAATATTTTGTCCACATACCTGCCTGGGTGGCCATTAGGAAATCAGTGTCGCCCCCAAGTGGCTGCGACTGCTGCTGCCCCACACCTGCTGTCCCACCCTCCTGGCCTGAGACTGTCCACACACCTACACAGCACTGCTGAGTGCTAATTGTCAGAGTTCATTCATATCCTGCACATACTGCTAATTGTCACTCATCCTAACTGACTCGCTTTTGTGGTTGCTCCTTGAGCTGGTCGAAATCAGTCACACCGCTAGCTGTGTACCACTTATCAAATCAGACTGGGGCTCGTAACACTTTTTAATTCTGATTTAGTCCTTTTTCATCCACTAGGGGGAAGCACTATCGCTTACATAAAGGCTAGCTTATGTACGGTTTGATTTAAAGGGCGTTTAATGGGTTTCACGCAAATAACAGTTTGATTTCCACTCTCCAGGAGCAAATCCAGCAACCTGTGATGGAGGTTAACGTGCAAGCAGTGATATTTAAAGTCTGCATGGAAATCTAACCCAATGGAAAGATGCATTTGTCTGGAAATAATTTAGCAATCCAATAAGATCGCACTGGATCCCGGCCTGTTGCACTGCCGCCAGGCCGCTTCTGCTATCAGCTGTGGCAGAGGTGGGGGCCACAGGCTGCTGATTAATGTGTCAACTTTGACATCAGGTTATGGACACGTAGACATGATTTAGTTTATTGGGAGAGAAATGCACTCAAGGCCGCAGGAAGTACAGTTGTAATGGGAGACAGTATCAACAAATCCAAAGGCATCATTCTCGGGTTAAAGGGACAACGTCTGCCATCTTGGAAATACAGTTATCTTCCAGGAAAGACAGTATTTTGTAGGTCCACTTGTTTTATGAATGCTAAAGCCAGACTGCTCATTCACAAAGGGCTTTCGAATGGAGCAGAAACAGTATGTTTAAACGACCGATCCCAAGCACGTGCAAACTGTAAAGGGGTATAGACACACCCTACAAAAAAGGGGGGACTGAAAAATTAGTTGGCGTTCATAATTAATATCATATCACTATTCGATAATGACATGTCAGTGACACCTGTCAGATATGTCACATGCGTCCTAACTGTGTAATACTTGAGGCTTAAAAAAAGGCTGCAAATTAAAAGGCTTAAATTGCTGTTTAAAATTAAAAGTACTCCTTTATCAGGCAAAATGTATTTGCTGTGTGCGTGCATTCGGTGCATACTGGGGATGCGTGGTCGGATGGGCAGGGTACTGATATCCAATAAGTTGCATGGGTTTTCTGTCCAAGAAGAGCACTTGTGTGGCATTTAAACCTCGTATTGGCATAAGCGGTCGGCGTGGGTGCGGGACGGGCGGCGATGCGAAGCTGCTCCCCAAACGGAGAGACCCGGACGATGCCTCCCTTCCTGCTCTTCCAGCGGAAAACGAGCAAGCCGTGAGCGCTCAAGCTGCAGAAGGAGAGCCGATAAAAAGGCAGCGGGGTGCCGTGTGAGCGCCTGGTGTCTCTACGCCGATCAGTGTTTTACGCGCCGGATCCTGGCAGCCAGCAGCGTCGGAGCTAGACTGCGCCTCGCTGAAACCGCGGCGAAGCGATGTAGCGATCGGCTCCCGGCGGATGCTATTGGATATAAATATACATATATTATACATATTATATAGGTCTATAAAAACGCATTACTTGACTGGCGTGATCAGTCCGAAGTGGCAAACGAGATCCAAGAATCCAGTCTCTCCTTGAAAGTTACGGGAAGTTTCGAGGGACAGTTAACAAGGACTTTGTTGCAAACGGAAAGAAGGGATAGAATCACTTGTAGTTAAGGCGGGTGGACTATGGCAGCGGACCTGAAGCCGCGACTGTGCGTTATTAAAAAGGCGGACTCTGGCTATGGCTTTCATCTGCATGGAGAGAAGGGCAGAAGCGGCCAGTACATCCGCAAAGTGGAGCCAGCGTCGCCCGCTGACATGGCCGGGCTGCGCACCGGGGACCGGGTGGTGGAGGTGAACGGCGACAACGTGGAGAAGGAGACGCACTACCAGGTGGGTCCCAGTAACCCAATAACGGGAATGATGGTGCGGCTCATGTAACCGTACAGGATGCGCGGAAACTGGTATCAGTGGTGCGATGTGTACGGGACGGACATGGTACCGTAACACTTCATATGTCTTTGTGAAGTACAGTTTGTAATTAGGTGTTGATCTACATAAGTAACTGCTTTTTCCTTTCTTGCAAGTCCCTCTTTGCGTTTGCCATTTAAGGTTGTCTTTTAGAGAGAAATGTTCTCATAGACTTAATAAACCCCATGGTGATGGGTAGGCCATCTGTACGCTGTAAACATGCTTTTCCGTGTCTGTTTATCATTATTTGGTTTAACTATTTGGAGATTTCCCGCTGGCTAATAAAAGGCAACAAAACGCCATGTGAGATTTTATTTCACTTGTTTAATATATTCCTTCTTCCCTGCACCATTAGCCGACAGCTAAAAAGTCGTCATCTCCTGAGGCAACACAATGTGCTCTTCTAGTCTCCCGGCCTTGTCACCTGTCACTGTTTCAGTGTCTGACAGTAAGAAATAATAGATCTCCTTTAGAACCTTAAAGTGCTGCCCAACTTTATATATAACGACATTATTATGTATGCTCTTAAATTAATGTGTTTCCTAAGTATTTTCTCTATAGCGACTCACTTTTATATTAATGGTTGTCCTTTATTTTTTGCTAGAGCATTTCATGTACGCAGTTCGTATCTCTGCAAACAGCATGTAGCGCTGGTCAGGCTTATCACAGTCCCCCTGTTTCTTAAGGCAGCTCAAAAACGTTCCATAGCGTGTGTGTGTAGATTATGTTAATATTACACTGTGGGGACCAAATGTTCCCAACAATATAATAAAAATCTGTTATTTTGGCATTGTGGTGACCATTTTTCAGGTCCCCACAAAGATCTGTGAATGCAATCAAAAAAGTAAAAATGCCCCTCCGACCCGCCGCTTCTTGCCCAGGTGGTCCAGCGGATCCGAGCGGTGCCACACGAGACGCGGCTTTTGGTGGTGGACGGCAACACCGATGAGCACCTGCGGCGCCAGCAGCTGCCGTGCAGTGCCGAACCGGCCGCCGTCGCAGGGGGCAGCTGCAGCGAGCCGGCCCCATCAGCGGCCCATGAGGCAGAAAACGGGCGCATTTCCACGCAGCCGGCCCCCTCTGCCGACGCCCCCCCCAAGCCTATCGACCAGCCGCGCACCCTCAGCACTAAAAAGGTAGGCCCTGTTCCAGCGAACCCCACCCAGACCTGAGATTAAGGGCATTTACCGAAGTACCATCCGTGACGCCCCTGTGGGCATTTTCCTGTGGGCATTTTCCTGTGGGCATTTTCCTGTGGGCACCCCCCTGTAGGTCCCCAGGCCTCTCGCTACCAAAACATCCTCACCTCAATTTTCAGGTCGCCATGGACGGCCATGCCACCGCCACAGCCCTGTCTGCTACCTGTGTTTAATCCGTCACATTAACCACAGATTCACAGACCTTCTGGGTGCTTCTCGGTGTTTAATCCGTCACATTAACCACAGATTCACAGACCTTCTGGGTGCTTCTCGGTGTTTAATCCGTCACATTAACCACAGATTCACATACCTTCTGGGTGCTTCTCGGTGTTTCCCAGAGGGTGTGCCCGTTGGCCTTCAGGAACGGCTCGGGGCCCCCAGCGACCCTGCAGAACATTCCGGTGCCAGAATTTTGGACTCCATAGATGACCGACTTCTCCCTGCTGCCTGCTTTAGCCAGAAATCATGCTTTACATGCATGTCACTGAAATAACATCCAGCGATGAGAACGGCCGTCATGTAAAGGCCTCGGTTACAGGACTGATTTGCTTGTCGACTAATTAACCAGCCCCTGATTATCAGGAATGCAGGTGGCGAATTATAATTATGAAATGAGGACTAAAAGGGCTGACAGGCAGCCATCCTGACTTGGGACACATGTTAAGTTTGAAATTATAGCATGCCTGGAATTATGGGTATTTTTTTCCGTACATTTATCACAGCCCTGCACCCAGACCGTGACGGTGTGTTTGTGAGCGCAGGGCTCCACTGTTCCCCAGCAGCCGCAGATTCCACAGAAAATGGCGTGTTTCCGATGAGGCAGATTTTTCCGCATCCGTGTTCCAGTCCAGCACCATTTCTGCATAACCACAGCAGATGGGTGGGGGCTGGGGTGGGGCTGGGCGAGTGGAGGTGCTCTGCTTCTGCCAGGGGAGCACTGCATTACCCGCCAATGGGTGCGGACGCGGGCAACCCCTGCGGAGTGGCCCCCACGGAGCAAAGAACATTCCGGAGAGGTGGGGGGCGGTGTGAGGTAGCCAGAGTAATGGAGAGACGTGAAGCCGCAGGAGGCTGGAGCTCCAGCTGAAACTCCTACTGGAAAAATATGGGGCTGTGAAGCTGGACTCAGTATTACAACTGAGTGACTCACCGGCGTGACAAGAAGGAGCACAGGGATCGTATTTATTAGCAATGAGCAGAATAGGCTGAAAAGGAAGGTGGAACTGCCTGAACAGAATGAGGAGTGGGCGGGGCCAGGACAGGGGCGTGGGGGGAGCAGAGCAGCTCAGCAAGCCCAAGACACGGGGGATGTGTGTGTGGGGGGGGGGGGATAAAAACCTGTTATTTTTACCTTGTGGGGAAACTCAATTTAAAAAAAAATCTGTGACTGCAATCAAAAAGCTAAAAATGCCAAGAATCTCGTATCTTGTCTGGTTACTTATGGTTAAGGTTAAGCCTGGGTGGGGGTCAAGGTTGTCATAGTTACTTATGGTTAAGGTTAGACCTGGGTGGGGGTTAAGGTTGCCATTGTTGGGATTAGGGTTATGGCCGTAGAAATGAATGGAGAGTCCCCACAAAGATATGAATACAAAAGTGTGGATGTGGGGGAGGGAACGCACACCGCTAAACATACATACACCCGATCAGTGAGTGCGTGTCACCAAAACACGAGTGAACATCTAGAGGGTACAAGAGATGGACACCATTAGTGGTGCTTCCTGCTGGACATTGCTGAAGCCAGTTTCATCATCTAAATAGAAACCTGTGAATCCTTGTAGAATCCAGGGAGACATGCAGATTGTGCATGTGTGTGCCTATGTGTATGTGCGAAAGACTGCATTTCACATGATCACAAAATTGCTGGAGTACTCGTGCATGTGATCCTGAGCGTGCCGGAGTGCGCGTGCATGCGGTCCTGAGTGTGCCGGAGTGCGCGTGCATGCGATCCTGAGTGTGCCGGAGTGCGCGTGCATGTGGTCCTGAGTGTGCTGTAACGTAATACCGAAGAACATTCTGAAAGTCCTGTGCATGACTGCAGCTCTGATCAAGGCCATTACACGTGTTCTGAGCCGTGTGACGCTTTCATTTGAGCGATATTAACAGGTCCTCCTTTTCTTTTTCTTTTCTGGATGCGACAAAATTTATGAGGAAATAATTAGATGGACAAACAAACAGCAGGGAGGGAAACCAGCTGGAGCCTGTGGTGTTGCCTGTGGATGATGGGCTCGCTCAGGCTGCTCTAGCTGAAGAGCCAAACGATTGAGACCAAAGAGGGAAAATCCTCGTGGGCCGTTAGGGTTACGTAAGGCGCCTGATGGAAGAACGGCAGAAATCACCGGAAGCCACCGCATCCGTCCCGAAGCGCCTGATTCCTGTGGGGTATTTTTAGTCTAATGAAAGGGGCTCTGGAGCCACATGTATGACTTCCCATGATGCAGTTCTGCAGTTGGCAGCAGAAGTGGAGGAGAGCCTCCCCAAGTCGGCGAGGGGAAGAAGCTGTTCAGCTGAACACCCCCAACGGGCATCTTTAATTTGCATAACCACAGAAACGCATGAAACATGTTCATCTTGCTTGCTTACAGATCCACCCCCCCCCCATCTCCCCCCCATTCCCGGAGGAGGTATTACTCACCAGATGTCCGGGAGCTTGTTCGGTCCTGCTTGTTCCCATCACGGCCTGAGTGGAGCAAACGACTTGCCTGCCCCTTATTGACAGGGCAGTGTCATACCCCCCGACCCCCCCACAGGTGACCTGCACCTTGGCAGAGCAGCTTCAGCCTTCTCCAGCTAAATAGCTACAGCCCCCTTCCACACATGAGCATGGGGAGCAGAGTGACCTCCATGCCAACGTCGAGGGAGGCACCATGTATGGTCAGGGTCCTGGGAGGTGGAGGAGGAGAGTGTGGGACCTGGTTCACCAGTCTCTTCCACTGGAAATCCTCCTTCCACCTTGAACCCTAATGCTGTTAAGGTTTTGTTTTTCAAACTGCACTCAGGCTGCACTCGTTCAGGAGCGAATGGGAAACGGGATTACCGAACGGGAATTTCATGAAAGTCAGGCATGTGCTGCCTGGAGCCCATCCTTTGAAGGCCACCTATAAAGAGAAGCTCCCTTCGGGTTAGGGTTAGGGTTAGGGTTAGGGTTAGGTCCGACGCACCTGGAGGCGCTGGGCCAGCCGGGCTGCGGTCAGCCAGGCAGAGGAGCCCTGGCGTCAGCCAGCTCACACTTCCAGCTCGGCCATCCTTCTGTTGCCGGTTAGCACCACGGAGCCAATAGAGTTCTGTTTCACCACTAAAGAGCGGAAGGTGGGAGAACGTATCAGCGCCGCGTGGGCAGTGCTAACGCTGGCAGTGGTGCGGGTGGGTGCGGGGGAGGCTGCTTCCACACCCTCCTAACACGCTCGGGTCTGGCCTGCACCACCTCCCCCCCCCCCCCCCCCCCCGCCTGATTAAAATAGAGAGGGGGCTGTAATTATTTAGTTTCTGTGTTCACTTATAACATAAGAATCAGCACTGAGTGGGAGACCATTCTGGATACATGTGGTCTATGTATTTTCCTCTTAGCATAGCAATGTTGCCACAGCCCACCACAGGTTTGTGCGTGTGAAGGGCGGCTGCCTACCCTCAGCGCCACCATCGGTAGACAGATGTAGTGGGCGGAGCCTCGGGAGTCACAGCATGTGCAAACAGTCCCCATTGGCCAGTGAGGGTATGCTGTGGGGTCACACGCATCCGGCAAGGACTCTGGACCGCAGACGCGTGTTTCCCCTGCAGCCGACGTGGGAATCGACGTCCTCGCGGGATGATTTTTTTTCTCAGGGCAATGAAGGTTCCCAGGGTGCTTAGTTACCGACCCACTCAGGGTGCCAGATATGCTCCCACCCGCCTCCCCAAAAGCACTGACGGAAACTGGACTTCGTCACTGCTGGCAGCGTGAACAAATGTGGGGGGGAAAGCAGGAACAATAGCAATGCTGATATAACCCCTGCTGTGGGTACATGTCAGCCCCTCCTGGGGACAGGTGTTGCCTCCCACTTGGAGAAGTGTGCACTGCACTGCTGCTCTGCACTTTGGGGGCGTTGCTGCCTCAGGCCTCATCATTCTCACACGCCAGTTTCCCACACAACCCACGCTGACAACCTGACTTCACTGCCCCCCCCATGGCAGATGGAATGGGTTTCTTCTTGTGTATTCCAAAAGCTCTAACGGGGTTAAAGGAGCAACACTGCATGGGCCAGACACTACACTACACTTCAGGTATCTGCTGAAGATCGGCACCAGTTCCCAGCCCTTTGTCTTGCTACTATGGCGATTATGAAGAGTGACGTTGATTATCTCAGCGGAGGTTTTTATCTCAGACGACTAACAGAAAATGCACATTTGTAGTTTCTTAGTTGCCGTAAGACGTGCAAACCTGCGTGATTCATTCAGCTAGCATTGTTTCCTACCCCCCGCACTGCTTCCAGTTAAACTGTGCTAGTATTACCGTCACTGGCTGTGACTGCAGCTCCCGTCACTGCATCGTCGCATTTACGCGAAGCCTTCAGCAGTCCCAGAGGCTCCCTCAGACCTCCCACCCGTATTGCGTGGGCTTGGGCACTACCCCGGGCCCCAGATAGAAGGGCTACTGGCAGTGTGCAGGGAACCCTGCAGAGTGCTGATAAGGGACTGGTCTGATGATCTTCACATGACAGGCTCCACAACAACGGGCAGGAGAGGGGAGTGGTGAAATTCACTGTACAATCGCAGCCAGTAGTTTATATTTAGGTTCTTCATTAATGGTTTTGTCCATCCTGTTTCACTGAAGCAGTTCATGTTGCATATCTGCCACCACATGATAGCATCTCGTGAAACCTGGTTAAGCATGAATATGTTCTTTGGGAATTTTCCGAATTTGTTGATGAACTTTAATATGTGTCTTATAAGGTGTTCAAGAA